CACACACACACACACACACACACACACACACAGAGCTTAGTGTCTGGATATCCAACTTCAGCTTTCGACACTTTGTCTCGTCTGGCTGGATTGAGTTTCCCCGGGCTCCGTGCTAGGCTGAAGACGTTGCCTTGCGAGTTCCATAGCTTGGGCTTCCCTGGCTGCATCCTCGTGCGTCCGATTCCACGACAACATGCCTAGTTCTCCTAGTGGTCTTGGAAACAGGATAAGCAGGAGAGAGAAAATTACGGCCAAGATGAAGGCCACGCAGCCAACCATAAAAAATGAAACGCCAATAAAATCATTATTACCTCCTAGCCAGGTGGTGGTGGTGAGGATCAGTGACTTCTCCCCATCGTAAGCATACGAGTTGTACATGTTTTGGATTTGAACAGTCAACGTGGCGCTCCGCTGGACCGTCTCGTTCAGCTGAATTCTTCCCCAGAGCTTCCTGACCGTATGCCATGCAGGCGATTGCATCCAGATAATAAACCTCTCATTCTCTCGTAGAGGACCCGTCAAGTTACCCCCACCCCGAGTAGACGCGTTGGCATTGAAGTTGATCGGCTCGACCTTGGCGCCGAACGCATTCCTCCGACTTCTCCAGGCCAGATTGTCCGCACTCACGGGGAGATCGACAACGGGGCCAACGTTTGCCTCCCCTGTCGGTTGCAGGCCAAATGCAAACGAATCGTTGAAAAAACTCCAAGCAACGATTCCGCACGGGAGAATCGGTCCCGCCTCGTTTTCCTTCTGCGACGCACATGACCCCGGAACAGTCACCGAGCCCCTCAGCTGCATGTTGTCTCTGCTGTCAACGTACTTTCTATGGTTCGCATAGAACCTCGAAAGCTCGTAATACACGGCCACTGTGCCCTTCTTCAGCCCCTTATCTAGTCGGAATGGTATCGTGCAAGACTTGCTTGTGGCTGGATCTCGTATGAACGCGTCCCGTAGGGGGTTCGACGGGAGGTTAGAAAGGCAAAACTGGTCGTAGCGCAGCCGGTATTCAACAACCGACCTCGCGGCCTCGAACGTAATGGCCCCCATAGGTATGAGAACGATAGCAACGACGAAGAGGATGGTGATCATCACCTTGGGTGTGAGGAGGATGGACCCGTGTAGACTGAGCTCTTGCTGACTCAGCCGGCTATACTTTGGCATCTTCGTCAACCCCTCCCTTATCACCTGCGATCCGGTCCCCAAGGGGTTATTCAGAGCCCCTCCTAGCCCTCCCCCGACCACCAGGCCGGCTCCCCCTATTCCCGATAACGACGCACTGGCGGAGGAGACCGCCATTTGTGTTCCACTGCGCGGCGGAGGGTATGTCAGTCGCCGGTCATTTTTTGCTGGAGGACCTGATGCATCAGTGCCCCAGTCGCTTGCGCGAGAAACTTGGGCCGGCGGTAACGAAGCCCTCTTTGGGAATCGTGGAGTGGTAGGTGCCATCTCCAGTTCTCTGTCCCCATCACGCGAAAACCCATCTGCCGAAGATCCCAACACCGCACCCTCATCTCTTTCTCCCCCCTTGCCCGTGCTAGCACCACCCAACGTCTCAAAACTACCACCGCTCCCTATACTGCTCAGCAGGGAGTCCGGCTTCGACCCAGACCGCGAAAAGCTGAAATGCTTCAACCTTGACTTTCCCTTAGATGCTCCAGTGGCACTGCTGCTTCCATTCCCATCCGACTGCAACAGCGCCTCACTGTCTGACGTGTCCATGTACTGCTGCCCCTGAGGTGTGGGGCCTGGACCTAAGCCAGCTTCAAAAGACACCTCCTCATTATCAATAATCACTCCCAAGCTTCGAGAGGAGGCCTCGTTTTCCCATGAATCTGAAGCAGGCCTAGCATCCGCATCGCCCCTGTTGCTGCCACTATGTGTGCCCCTGCTCTTCTGACCAGTGGCCTTGAGGCCTGGTAAAGGACCGCCGCCTCTTACTTCATCTCCCTCTACAGAGCCATCCAGCTCCGAGATTTCTGTGTTCTGCCGGGGGTTTGCAACACTCGCCCTACCATCCATCCCCTCTTGCAGTCCCAATCACCTGCAACCCCTTGGTTCGTGCTTTGCTTATACCGCTCCAAAACTCTACCACCACCTACCTACTCCTCTGCTGATCCCTCTCTCTCTCTCTCTCTCTCCTGTCTCTTATACACATCTAGATGTGTATAAGAGACAGGTGTGTGTGTGTGTGTGTGTTTGTGTGTGTAACAGTCGTTTCATTAATTTGAGATATTTAAACTGGCAGTACCTTTCCCCACAACAAAAAAAAATACAGCAGCGGTTAACATGGAGGGTGCAAGGTACTGCCGGCTGCGGCCAGATACATCGGCCGAGCTTGGCATGGACTGTGCAGGGTCTGCAGCCAATCTATAAAAAAAGGCACTGGCGGTTTAAGCATTTATGAGGACAAAATTGAAATTTACTCTTTATGGGCACCACTTTTACAGGGTTTACGATGGATGAAATGCGATAATTATTAATTAAACAATTCTGAAAATGCACAAAATTTAGTGATTTACTGTTTATGGCCACTTTTTATGGGGTTTCATCAGGTACTCACCCCCACACCTGACCCGAGCCACATAGGTTCCCGTTTCTTTTCCTTCAGCGCTGGCAGTGTGAGCCCCATGGACTCTTTCCTGCTCCGAACAGTGAGTCATGGGGACCACCAGCCTTCTCCTCTCCACTCTTATATCCGACTCACTCTCTAGAGTCTCTACAAACTTCTCATCTCCCCACCACCCCATCCGTAGAGGGTAACCGCAACTTTTTTAAAGCGTTTCCCCCCCCCCCCCCCCCAAATGGAGCCCACAACTGTTGCAGGAGGCTTGTGTTGTCGGATCCGGTCTTATAACTGGGGAGCAGCACGTGAGCGTAACTTCAACCTAACGGTCGCATCATGTTTTTGAATCAATCGAGCAAAAGTCCCAGCACCCCAACATGAAATCGGCACCTTGGCACCCTTTGACCCTTGGCAGCCTTGGTACCCTTGGTACCCTTGGCACCCTTGGCAGCCTTGGTACCCTTGGCACACTTGGCACCCTTGGGACCCTTGGGACCTCAGCACCCTTGGCACCTTGGCCTGGATTCCATTCAATATTACGAAGCGAAGTACCCACTTTCAGCGGCGCCCATACATTTTCCCGTTCCCGATTGGGCCCATCACATGCGCCCTACAGTTCTTCGTCAGGGGCTGATCCGTTTCGTCTGCTGCTTCCTCTCGGCGATGGCCCCTGACGTTGTTATAGCCATCTGAAATCATTTTCCTTTGGGCTGGATTTGAACTCGTGATCTGTTCGCTAACAATTACATGTGTTAGTAAACTGAGCACGAGTAATTGCCGCAGTGATTCAACCGAAAGAGAGAGAGCAAGGTAATTACTGAGGTAACACACCGAGAGAGAGAGAGAGAGAGAGAGAGAGAGAGAGAGAGAGAGAGAGAGAGAGA